CTGCAGTCAGCCCGTAGAGTAAGGACGCATAACAAAGGGTGCAATGGCCTTGGGCGGTCATGCTTAGCGTTCTTCGGAGGAGGTCGGCCAGCGAGGGTCGCCAAGGATGGGCCGCAGGTGCCAGCGCAAGTCGCCAAGGGAAGGCCGAAGGGGCGCCCGCGGCGCGCCTCGGGGCCCAGTCATGGGCGTCGTCGCTCAACGGGGGGCGATCAATGGGGGGGGGAAGGAGGAGAGTACTCTTCGTGCCCAAAGAGACCCCTGGTGGGCCCGAAAGGGCTCCTTCGCGGGCCTTGGATAACTCCTCTCCTGCAGCCCTCGCCGCTCCCCCACTTATCGCCCCCCCATCACGAGAGGCCCAACGTAAACCCAAACACGCTAGACTGGAACATCCAGACAGCGGCACGGAAAAACAACTGCAGTACAACGTTCCCAGAAGAAACCCAGACCAACGCCCCTGAAGCCTGCATGCCTCCCCCCTAGACGCAGACAGAGACCCGAATCCTGCAGTGCAACCGAAAACAAAAATGCACGGGACGGCCCGATCAGACTTTGTAGGAAAGGGCGTCTTCTCCCCCACTTGCCAGCGTCCTGCTTGCGGAATATGTGTCTTGGTCTGCGGGGGGATGAAGCCGATGACGTCACCGACGCCGGTTACATCTTCGTGGGACCTTGCCTGTCCCGTCGCGCCCCTATCCGCGTCGAGTCCGTCGCGAATCCATGCCGGCCTCGTCGACTCTGCGTCGAATCCACGCCGAAGCCGCGTCGCATCCGAGCCCGCGTCGGGCGCAAGGGAAGACCCCCACTGAGGGGACAGACGAGGCCCCCCGAAGGTGCTGCCGAGGCGCGCCGATGACGTCGACCTCGCCGTCCTCCTGCCAAAACAGCCCTGCATCGAATCGGGAAGTCGTCATCACATCGCCTGGATCGCTGGGAACTGGCGAGTCGAATCACAAGCCATATCGCGAGCGTGTCAAATCGAAGCGCAACCTGAACCGCAAGCTAACCGGATCGCGCGAGCGTCAAGCAGCGCGAAGGCGGCGGATGGGGGGTGATCTCTCGTCCAGACCAACAGAAGCACGCCGCAGGATGTCTGGGCTCCTCTCCTCCGTCCTCTCCTCCTCCCCCACTTCTGATGTTGCGAAGAAGAACGCGATGACAAGTGCCTCGACGAGTGCGACGACGGGTGCGACGGCGAGAACGAGGGCGAGTACGACGAGTACGACGACTGCGACTAGTACGACGACTAGTACGGCGACAAGCACGACGGCAAGGAAGACGAGTGCGACGGGCGCGGCGAGAAGCTCGACGAAGGCGCCCTTCAACGGGCACCCAACCTTGTGGGCACTCTCTCGCAGCGCCTACGTGTCGGAAATTGCTCATGACGACCCCTCCTTTCCGGAGGTCTCCGGTGTGCTCTCCAGAATTATCCAAAGATCTCAGGCCCCGGAACACTCCAGTGGCACAAAACAACATTATTCGGACCGACCCCTCCCATGTTTGCATCTGTTGGACAGCGCGTCCCTCCCTGACTGTCTGAGTACAGGCGGGCCTGAGCGTGAGCGAGTCTAAGTATCAGAGGCTGGGTGCGATCTGCTCTGAGCGTGTCTGGGAGTGCGGGTTTGAGTCTGATTGAGCCCGGGTGGGGGTGAGTCACAATGTGAGTGCGTCAGCATACTAGCGGCTGGGAATGAATGTCTCAATATCTCAATATCTGGTTTTGAAAAGGAGGGGCGAGAGAGAGCGGCCGATCGTGCGACACAATTCACTGCTGACGGTCGCGCCGCAGTCGGCACGACCCAACCGCCAGCCACCAGCTTCGGGTGCGCGGGCTGGGGAGCTGAAGTGGCTCTGATGCGCTCTGGGGAACAATTGCGCAGGCTCGGGCCATCATGGCAACGGAGCCGTATATTCGGCGGTGGACAAACCTCCCTTCAATAGACCTCCCCTTAGTGAAAACGGCCTGGGACCGAAACCGACGGACCTATACCCGCAAAAATACGGCCGCGACCCCCTCTCGCGAACCAAAAACGGCCAATTCCTTAGTCGACGTGTCAGGGTAGGAGGTCTGTCCACCCCCGATATATACATGTGCATCGTCGCAGCTTAATACCCCAAAGCTCTACTACAGATCGTTATTTGGATCGGCGCCCTTTTCGGTCCCGAGCTGCCTGGAGAAGGTCAACGTGCCAAAATCCCGCCTGTGCCCTTTTGAGGCCTCCGAAGGCTCCAAGATCCGCCAAGACCTGGCGTGATAATTTGCTCGGGGTTCAGGCTACCCGTTAACGTACAGTCGGGGTGTTGACCTAAGGAACCCTAAATAGGAACGAGGCCCCTGTTTCCCTTAACTTCAACTTCGATTCCCCATGGACAACCTAAGGAAAACCCAAGGCAACTGTAAAACAATCAAGGAACACCGAGCTCCTCCCCAGCGAAAATGGTTCCTTAGTCAGCGCCCCGACTGTACACTCTCGAAGTGGCGAGGCGGATGCCGCTGGCACAAGGAACCAATGGCAAACGCCTCCAGTGTGCACACTAAACGTTGTGCGCTCCCTATCAAGATAGGACGCTCTCTTAAGAACGAGTGAGTCCCAGCGTGAATCTGATCGTGAACACCTCTGACTATGAGTCAGTCTGCGTCTGGCCTGCCTATCAATGGGTGTGTAAAAGAGTCTGAGCGTGATTGTGCCCAAATGATTAAATAGAATTGCGTCGGTGTGGCTAATGGCAGGGCTGAGAATGAAGGCGAGGAGGAAGACGTAGAAACACTACGCCAACAGGAAGAGACCCACCATTCTGACATCCGCCACCGTGCCACAAGGCACAAATCGGAGTGCCCTTAGGTTCTCTTTAGTCCTCAGTCCTCAAGATTACCAAGCGTTTCAGAAAAGGACGCAAGCGTAAGGGACTTCTGAGACCGCGGCGTTGCATCTAAGACTTCGCGAAGCGCGAATGAAAAGCGTCATGCGGCGACCTTGTGGGCGAAGCCGCGCGGACTTGAGAAATCGGCATCGCCCGTCTCAGAAGTCCCTTTCCCTAGGGTCCCTTTGGGAACCACATGAGGTTAATAAAGGGGCCATGACTCCAGATTCCTGATCCTCCCAAGGCTCCCGATGTGCTGCCCAAGCCCCGGCGCAACTTCTGGCGTGACACGTTCGGGCCCAAGAGGGCCCAAGAGGGCTCCAAGAGGCCTCCGGCCCACAACCCACGCACGGTGGCGAGATGGGCAACAAGCCCGTAGATACGGCGCCCCCTGTTGGTTTGCCAGGCGTATTGCCTTCGGCTGATCGCCCTGGCCACCCGGAAGGGCACATAAACGTCCCTGGTTCGAGAGCTCTCCTACCCCGTGAGTGCCCGTAAACTTCCAAGGTCGTCGTTCTTCCAGCTCCAAGTCGGCCCCGAGATGGCCTCGAAAGCGCCTCACAAAGATCCGTAGACTTCCCAGGTCATCAGTCTTCCCGCTCCAGGACGGCGAAGATGGCTGAAGATGGTCTTCAAGACCTCTCAGAAGGCCCCAAGAGAGCCCAAGATGGCTCCAAGAGGAGATGCGATGCCCCAAGTCGGGCCCAAGATGCACTCAAGATGGCCCCGAGACAGCCCAAGAGGGCCCGAGAGGCCCCCAAGAGGCCCCCAAGAGAGCCTCCAGGAAAGCCCACAGAGACCTCTCCTCCTGTTCTTCCTTCCCCGAACTGTTTCCACAACGGCTTGGGGACACACACGATCTGCCAGTTTCACCGAGCTCTGACCGCAACGTTCGGCCACACAGGCGCTTCCAAAAGGCGGTGGGCGGCGATGACTCGCCGCGTGCGTCTTCGATCCGCCGCCCCCTGTGGCTTGCCACGGGGGTGCACGGCGTGCCAGGCATGAGGTAGAGTTCTATGGGTTCCCAAATGGACCTTCGGCCCTGCAGAGAATGGGGCTCCCGTCGGCTGTCGACCTCGCCGGGGCCCATGCTCTTCCGGGGACGTCGGTCTTCCCGCTCCAAAAGACGGCTCCAAGATGGCCCCAAGACGGCCACGGTGGCCTCAAGAGAGCCCGACATGGCCGCACGATGTCTCCAGAACGGAATGAGATGCCCCCAAGATGGTCTCGAGATCGCCCAAGCCGGCCCAAGAGGCCTCCAAGGCGGTGCAAGAGGCCTCCGAAAACACCTCCACGAAGGCCCGAAGAGGCCAGCACCATTGATTGTCCAAAGGTGGTTGCAGGGTTCCGGAGCTCCAGCGCCAAAGACGGCCCCAGAGGCCACCAAGATGGCCCCACGAACGCCCAAGACTTTCCAAGAAGCCTCTGAGGTGGCCCCCTCACAGTCCAAGAGGCCCCAAGGGCTGCCCCAAGATGGCCCCAAGACTGCTTAGGAGACCTTAAGATGTCCAAGATGGTTTTCACGGCGCCCCTGAATAACATGAAGAGGGCCCCCAGTCGGCCCAGAGATGCCCCCAAGACGGCTTCCGACGGCGTCAGCCAGGCTAGGAACATCCTCAGACGGCCAAAGAACCTTCCAGGGAGCCTCCAAAGGCCCCCAAGAGGGCCACAGGAAGCTCCAAGGAGGCCCCAAGAGTGCTCCAAGATGCTCCCAAGAGACCTTCTTACCCTGCACGTTCCTCCCTCTCCTCCTCCAACGGCCGGGGGGAACACGCAGTCCGCAAGCCTGGGCGAGCTCTGGCCGCAGCAATTCGACGACACAGGCCCTTTCACACGGCATTGGGGCGGCTGTGATGCGCCGCAAGCGTCTTCGATAGGAAACTGTGCAACTTGGGGATCCCAAGACCGTGCGGTGACAGACCGTGCGGTGACCTCGGAACCCCAAGAGACCCCACCGCACGGTCCGTCACCACACGGTCTTGGGACCCTGGCCAGGCTCCAGTCGCCCGAGACGTCCTCGGAGAACGACCGAAGTCCCGAAACCGCGTGGCGACCCCGAATCCCCACCGACTCACCACACGGTGTGGTCACCACCTCGTTTGGGAGCCCCCGAGCAACGCCTTCCATCCGCAATCCGCGACCGGCACTCCATGGGGGCAGAACGCGCGCAGGTCGGGCTCCCCCCCTCGGCGGGTCGGCCCGAAGCGCGCCTCGTCCAGCTGCCGCTGCAGCACCGACCGGGCCTCCAGCAGCGCGGCCTCGCGGAGGCGCCCAGCCACCGCCGACAGTCAGTGGGGGGGGACGAGAGGGAAGGGGGGGAGGCAGACGGAGGAGGGAGTGACTACCGACCAGACCACCCCAACCCAACCCGAAGACCCGAATTTCGGGTTGGGGGGGAATGGGTTCCATACGTGTTTTTTCCCATGTTCCCCGCCCCCTCCCCCCTGGAAATGGAAGGCAAATTGAGGCCTTCGGGTTGGGCTGGGGTGGTTTGGTAGGTGGTGAGGGAGGGAGGGAGGAAAAAGGGACGAGAGAGGGAGGGGGGAGGCAGACGGAGGCTCCAAAGGTGACCCCGGAGCTCCCCAGGAGGTCCCGAAGGGGGCAAGCGGCCCCCCGACGGAGCCCAAGCGGCTGCCAGGAGAGCCCCAAGACGGGCTCCAAAGCGTCAGCGTCGTCGCCGCCGCCGCCGCCGCCGCCGCCGTCGCCGTTGTCGTCCTCAGAGTCCTCGTCGTCGTCGTCGTCCTCGTCGCCGTCGCCGTCGCCGTCGCCGTCGCCGTCGCCGTCGCCGTCGCCGTCGCCGTCGCCGTCGCCGTCGCCGTCGTCGTCGTCGTCGTCGTCGTCGTCGTCGTCGTCGTCGTCGTCGTCGTCGTCGTCCCTCTTCAGGGCCAGCGGCACCGGCCGCAAGGCCTTCCCAATAGGGTCGGCATCGATGCCACGACTACTCATCGGTCGGCAGAAGTAGGTAGAACAACATGATGTAGGAAGGTTTTGAAACTAGATTGGGTTTCCGCCCGCCCCCTAAGGAGCAGGGAGAAGGTGCCGCCACTCGATCATTGAAGTAGGAGGGCGCTTGAAGTAGACTGGAACCTGGGAATCCAAGGATACCTTTCGTTCAACGACCGATGGGTACGGAGGAAGAGGAGCCACGCTCCTCGAGCACGCCCTGCCCCCTGGGGGAGCCGCAGGCCCCCCCCCCGCCCCCAACCGGCGGGCCCACCGAGGACCTTCCTTGTGGACCGTCGCCTCGCGGGGCGCTCCCCAAGGAACGCGAGCTGAATCAGCTCTCTCTCACACGACTACGTCGTATAGCTCGCAGCTCGCAGCTCGTACTCCTCCTCCTCACTGTCCTCCTCCTCCTCCTCCTCCTCCTCTTCCTCTTCTTGTTCTTCTTCTTACTCCTCCTCCTCCTCCGCCTCCTCCTCATTTCCTTTATGGGACGTGCGCTCATGCTCCTCCTCCCCCAAAGAACGCGCGCTGAATCAGCCAGCTGGACCAGAAAACAAACGGCAACACCCCACCTGTGGTCAACCCGTATAGCAAGGGCGCACCATCAGGGTGCAAGGGCCTTGGAAGGCCGCTTCGAAGCTGTTCGAGCGGAGCGCAGCCAAAGAAAATGGCCCAGGATGGACAGAGGAGGCGAGGATGCAAGGACACCCTTGGGAAGGGTGCCCATCCTTTACTATGCGGGTTAACTGTACGGCCTCACGGGGCTTTGCGCGCGCGCACACACACACACACGGAAATCTCGAATGGGTTTTTGCGTGGCATACGCTACGGCTCCCGGTGGGCCGTAGCACCACACGGAGGGCCGCAGGTGGGGTGGTGTCGTTCGTTGTTCGGTCGACCAGCAGCCGATCTTCGTGCGATTGGCAGAGGCGGTGCTCACGAACCCCGAGGAAACAGGCGGGAGCAGAGAGGAGAGGGCACAGACTGGAGAAAGAACGAGCTGGGGGGGCCCAGCGCAGATCAGAGAGATCTGCGCGGAGCTCCTCGAGTTCATGTTTGTGCCGCTCTCTACCTTTGATGGAGGAGGTGGGTTGAGACGGGCAGGGATGGGAGGACGGTGGGCCCCCAACGGGAGTCCCTATGAGTTGGCTCCGCCCGCCGGGGGGCCGAAAAGGAGGAGGGAGGGGGGAGAGGGGAGGGAGGTCGGCTGCCAAATCGAGCCCACGCAGGGGAAGCCAAGAGATACCGATACCGCTGCTCCCCGGGCCCCCATCCAGGGGTGCGTTCCGACCAGGGCCTCGAAGCAAATCCAGCGGCGGCGACGAAGACCTCCCTGGGGTCCCCAAGCCAGGCGAAGACGAGGCGAGGGTAGCGGTATGGGTTCCTTTCCCTCCTCTGTTGAGCAGGAACCGACCGTCCCGGCATTCGTACAGTCCTACCACGACATGTTCTCAGAACCCAAACAATGTTCGAATAACAAAAACAGCGTTCTTAGAACAGAAACCCACATGTTCTCAGAACAGTTCGTGGAAACCACAAAAGGCTCTTAGAACATTGTCTGAGCCAGGACGCCTCGCCACTGCTTGACTGAAGGGGCCCTGGGACACACAAATAAATACACACAAATAAAAAGATGCCCCATATTTTCCCATATTTTCTGGGTTTTCGTCTTCCCCCCCACTTCCCATATTTTCCCATATTTCCCATCTGTTTCCGGGGAATCGACGATTAATTGTGTCTGTGTGTTTTTTTGTTTCCTCCTGCTTGACCCTGAAAGGTCTGAGCTGCTTGTCGTTCCGCACCGAAGGGTGCCGCCCACCCTGCTGCGTGCGCCTCCGCGCTCCGGCACCGGGCCAGGACGCAGTGCTGGACGGGGGCGCCTCTCCTGTCCCTCAAGACTGTGCGTGGCCCGAGGCACGGCCCTCCCCCGCGTCCTTCCCTGCTCCGCTCCCCCCCTCCTCCCCCATCCCCCATCGCCCTCCCAGGGCCGAACTGGGGGGCCACATGCGAGCCCTACCCCATACCCTCCACGATTTCTGAGGGGGAGGGTGTGGTCCACTTCGCTCGGGAGGTAGGGGTAGGGTAGGGGACCCCACCCTCTCCCTCAGAAATCGTGGGGGGTAGGGGTAGGGTTCGCATGTGGCCCCCTTTGAACCTGAACGGTGTTTTTCGTTTTCGTTTTGTTTTCCCTCGTTTCTTGTCTTCAGTCCGCCTTTAACGCAAAACGACATCGAAAAGAAAACGGCCCACGAAACCGCCAAAACACAGTGTAGGTCCAGCCCTGCCCCCTCCCCCGACGCGTCCTGATCCTCCTACCTTGCTGAAAGGGGGCCCAAAGACGCACGATCTCGCCGGCCCTGCGGGCCAGAGGCGTGCTGAGGTCTCCGGGGACAGGGGAGGTGGATATCTGTCTGGTTCGCGCGCGCGGGGCCGCCCCTGGGGGTCCCTACGAAGAATACCTCCCGGACCCCCCCGGCAAGGTCCAGGCAAACTCGGATCAGAGATGGTTTTGCTCCCGGGTGCGGCATTTAAGGCATCCCAGAGCGTTCCACGAGCGCTCAAGATGGCTCCAGAAGCCTCCAAGACGGCCTACGACCAACAATGCTCCCAAGACGGCCTCAGAGAGGACCAAGCAAAAGCAACAATCGTTGATTATCCTTGTGTGTTTCCATGTTTTCCGCGTTCTCGCGTCTTCGGGCTTCCGACGCTCCGAGATGGCCCCAAATGCCCCCAAGACCGCCCCAGGACGGCCCGAGAGGCCACCAAGAGGGCAAGGAGGCCCCCTGGAGGCCCCACGAGGCTCCGAAGAGTACCAAAAAGATGCCCCCGAAAGCCCCCAAACGGCCCCCAAGAGGCCTTAAGAGGCCACGAACGCGCAGGCAAACGCCTGCGATGGCACAATACGGACCAGCGGAATGAGCACAACCATTGAACAGATAGACGCAATTCCGAAGATTTGCAATATTTGCCAATCTTGTCTGGATGTTCGTCTTACCTCCACTCCCCATATTCTCCGTCATGTTATGGGTTTCGGCGATTCTTTGTGTCTGTGTGTTTCTTGGATCTTCTGCCTTCCGCCTCCAGAAGCCAGTGGCGAATTCCCGAACACCGAAGGCATACACGGAAAGCATCATCATACCGTGGACAACGCACAAGCCTAAGATTCGTGCCTAGCGCTTCCTCCTCCCTCGCCCGCCCTCCCTCGTCATCTTCCCTAATCCCGTCTCCTGAACGAGGGGCGCGACGAGGACGAGGCGAAAGGGTAGAGGGGTGTGGGGCAGGGCCATTCCTCCTCCCCGTCATTGTCGCTCTCCTCCTCGTCGTCCTCCCCGCCCTGCCGCGCCTCCTCCTTCTTGCACTGCCGGGCCTCCCTCTCCTCCTCCTCCTCCTCCTCCTCCTCCTCCTCCTCCTCCTCCTCCTCCTCCTCCTCCTCCTCCTCCTCCTCCTGTCCCTCCTCCTCCTCCGCCTCCTCCTCTGAGTCTGGCTCATGCGCCTCCTCCTCCTCCTTCTGGCCATCCTCCTCCTCGTCGCCCTGTCGAGCAGTCCTCCTTCTCCTCCTCCTCCTCCTCCTCCTCCTCCTCCTCCTCCTCCTCCTCCTTGTTATCCTCCTCCTCCTCCTTCTTCTCCTAATCCTCCTCCTCGCCCTGCCGCACCTCCTGGGCCTGGCGCTGCGTGGCCATGGCGTCGTCCTCGGGCGTTTCCGCGGGCGGCGCTTGGCGACGTTGGGGGAGGACCCGCTCAGGGGGGGGCAAGCTTGTTCTCCGCTTCCGTCTCTCCCCCTCCTCCCTCCTCCTCCTCCTCCTCCTCCCTTCCTCCTCCTCCACCTCCTCCTCCTCCTCCTGCTCATTCTCCTCACTCCTGCTCCTCTTCCCCTCTTCCTCCTCGTCCTCCTCCTCTTCCTCCTTCCATTGTTCCCCCCTTTCTCTCTCTCTCTCTCTCTCTCCCCTCTCCTTTCTCTTTATCCTCCTCTTCCTCCCCTCTCTCCTCCTCCTCTCATCATCTGTTCCTCTCCTCACTTCTCTCTCTCCGCCCCTCCGCTACTCCTCCTCTCCTCCTCTCCTCCTCCTCCTCCATCCCCCTCCTCTTGCTTCTCCTACTATTCCCCACCTCCTCCTCCTCCTCCTCCCTCCATCCCCTCCCTCCTCCTCCTCCTCCTCCTCTCCTCTCCTCCTCCTCCTCCTCCTCCTCCCATCCTCTCTCCTCCCTTTACTCGTGCCGGTCGCTGTGGGCCCACCCGCGGCCCCCAGCCGGAGCATATTCAGTTGGTGACGGGTAGGCTGGACATCTTGGAGCGGGCGATACATCGCCCACTGATCGGCGATATAGGCGCCAAGGGGGCCCACCCCACCCTGAGGGCCAACGTGGGGGGGGGGGGCAACCCCTGGGAGAGGGAGGGGGAAACGTGTCGACCTGAAATCATGTACACATCGCCCACAGATCGGCGCCGAGCCCCCTATAGCGAAACGGCACGTTCCTGGGCGGGGGGGGGCTCTCCGGCCCCCATCGGCGATGAATGGGCGGTTGGGGGGTCGACGCGTGCATCCTTGAGCTCATCCCCCGCTGGCCTTGCCACTGGCGCCCGCTCGCTCCAGTCCCCGCCCTCGCTGGGCAGCCGTGCACCGTCCATCCCCAGAAGAGAAGACGGAGGGGGAGATCTTACGGCGGAGGTTTTAGATAAGGATGCCTTCTGTAAGGAACCCAGGGTCTCGCGAACGATGGGCGGCCAAACGTGGACCACCCAACTCGCCTCGAAACAAGAAGACATGCGCCAGGGTCTGGGCCCCAGGAAGACGCTCCTCATCCACTGCCGTCGCCGCACGACGGATCAACGGTCAACATCGCGGAGGACACGGGCACCTCACGCACGCCTCCAATCCAGGGGGGGGGGCCCACGGTAGGTCCCTGCTCACGGGACTGCTCCCCGAGGAACGCACTCTGCACCGTGCGCGCGCCCGGAAGGCCACACGGCGCCCCGATCCCGAGGAGAGCGGATGGGGAGACAAGGAGGGGAAACGGTGCCACCCAGGGCTGAACCTAAGCGGTGTGTTTCGTTTTCGTCTTGTTTTCGTTTTCCCTCGCTTTTGTCTCCAATCCGCCGTTGCTGCAAAACGAAGTCGAAACGTAAACGGCTCACGAAATCACCAAAACCACCGTTTAGGTCCAGCCCTGGTGCCACCCATTCCGAGAAATCAGACACAACCACCAGCTGCCAAAGACCGATCAGAAACTGGGGGAGGATCGAGACTTGCATGATGCCAGCGCGCGCAAGGGGCATGGGGGGGGCGGCTTCCTGGAAGGAGGCTGCTTCTCAGAAGGTCACGGCCCTACATCTACAGATCAGACCCACACCTTCCAAGACGCAGCCTCCTTCTCAGATACCTTCCCCCCTCCCCCTGCCCCCTTGCTACGCGCGGCCCGGAATGAGTTGGGCCACCTTCGGGGAGACATCAGACTCAAGTTTGAAGGACTCGAGCTGGCCTGACTGGGCCGTTGGAAAAATGACCAGACCCAATCCGAAATTTGACTCAAACTCCCGCAACAAACATCCCACGAGAACTGGACCGTCAAAATCCAGGACTGGCTTGTCGAACAGCGTCGGCAAATCCGAGTCCAGGGGAACTCGAGTCTTGCGTTCCCCCGACACCTCTTGGTGAGCGTTTTCTTGTTCGGCGTTTCGTCATTGGGCGGGAAGGGGGGGGAAGGGTCTGGCTCCGGACCTTTGCTTAAAGCGACTGTTTGCAACAGAGCGTCCTATGGGGGAGACTCCGCCTGCTCGAAACAGGCGCCCCCAAAAAAACAAGATCTACTCCATGGGGGGGAGGGAGAGGGCGAGGGCCCGCGCCGATAGGCAAAACAATGAATAAGAAAACGATCATTTGTCCTCCCTCTCGTCCACCCTCCCTCCTCCCTATCGGCGTCCCGCACGCGTTCCTCCGCTCCCCCTCCGCCACGTCGATTGTACCAAATAGTCTGCCCCACCTAGGTTGCACAACACACACATTGCTAGCTAGCGGCACATTGCTTGGGGTCCACGCTGGCTAACATTTCGAACTATGCATCGCTTCGGTGTGTCTCACTTGCTGGGGCACGCTCGTCGACTCGGCCGTGCCTTCCATTGCTCGGGATACTACTCCTCCTCCTCCTCCTCCGCATCCTTCCCCCCCTCCTCAGCTTTCCCCTCCCAGTCTCCCGGACCTTACTCCGGCTTCCCTCCTCCATCCCCGTCACCTCCCTCCCTGCCTCCTCCCGCCTTCCGAACTGCTACCTCTCCCCATTATCCGTCCCATTTTCTTCACTCTTGCTTCCTCTTCCTCCTCCTCCTCCTCCTCCTCCTCCTCTGGGGAATCCAAACACTACCGATGCCGCCACTCCCCGGACCTCTCCCGGGGTGCGTTCTGACCAGGATTTCGAGGCCATTCCAGCGGTGGCGACGAGGGGGAAATCGACGGAAGGGTAGCGGTATGGGTTCCTTTCCCTCCTCTGATCTTCCTCCTCCTCCTCCTCCTGCTCATGTTCCTCCTCCTCCTCCTCCTCCTCCTCCTCCTCCTCCTCCTTATGACCTTCCTCCTCCTCCCCTCCTCCCCCTCCTCTTCCTCTTCCTCCTCCTCCTCCTCCTCCTCCTCCTCCTCCTCCTCACTCCATCTCCGCTCTCCATCTCCATCTCCTGCTCCAGTCGGCGCTCCGAGAGGGCAGCACGGCGCGCCCCAAGACGGGGCGCCTGCCTGCTTCGCCCGGATCTCGTCGAGGCGGCACGTGGTCAGCTCCTCGGGGCGAGAGGGCGCGCGGCACGCCGGGGGGGGCCGCAGGCCGCAGGCCGGCGAGAGGAGGCGAGCCGCGATCGAGCGACACAGAGAGCCCCCGCGAGGGGGAATCTGAAGGGGCCCAGGGACACACAAATAAACAGACACGAACAACAGGATTCCCAATCTCCTCCCAGATGTTCTGGGTTTTTGACTTCTCCCCCACTTCCCACATTTCCCCCATATTTCCGTTGGAATCGTCCATTAATTGTGTCTGTGTGTTTTTGTTCCCTCCTGAGAATCGAGGGGAGGAGCAGGCGAAGCGGTCAGGCCGAGAGCGCATCACAGCCTGTGTTGTGCAGTGCCCCCCGACGCGACGTGGGCATCCTCCGCCCCCCCTCGTCGCACTGTGAGGCGAGCGGCGGATCCCTCCACTCCGCAGGCTCCCCAGCGCGCACCCAGAAAGGTTTTTCGCGAGGATGACAGAAGCCCCGAAAGCAAACCGACGGTTCCACACCGACCCAACAAATCATAGCTGGCAAAAGGGCGAGAGCACGATGCCTGGCCAACTTGTGAGAAAATGTCAGGCGGCCTGGGAGCCGCACCACCTGCGGGCCGGGCGGTCTCGGGTTCCCCGTCTCCCCATGTGGGGCTCGTCTGGTTTACCCGTGTGCGTTTCAAGGCGCACATAAAATCCTTCGGTGAGATTAGCGAAACGCTATCAGGGGAAAACGTCCTGCCCTGATCTGCTCAGGACGTGGTTTGCAACAGGTATCCTGGGGAACCTCCTGGGGGGTCTCCCTGGGGGGCGCGCGGGGACCTCGATGGAGCTCTCCCGCGCCCCGAGGAGGCCCGACGAGGACGGTGTCGTGCCCCCCATGGCCCCAACGGTGCCGATCGCAAACCATACCCCGGCGTAACCACACCCTTTGCAGTCGCCGACCATGGGCCTTCCACGCGGCCAACCGCCTCGTCCTCACCTCCTTGGGCGCCCGAGTTATCCTGGCCAACTCGGGCCCAGGGCAACTCGGGCCTGGATCCCCGAAACACGAGCCCGAATTAGCCCTGACCCGAAGCATCCCTGATGATTTTCGGGGCTCTGGACGCCCGAGTCATCCGGGGGGTAACTCGGGCCCGGGGCAACTCGGGCTCGGATTCCCGAAAAACGAGCCCGAGCTAGCCCGGACCCGAATCACCCCTGATGCTTCGGGCCTCTGGACCCCGGCCCGCAGGGAGAGCACCGCCCCGCGGGGACAGGCCCCGCCTGGCGGCCTCCTCCTCTGCAGGGCCCCCCCCCCCCCGGGGCGAGGGCGGCTGCGTTCGCGCGGGAGCGCGCGCGGGGGCTGCCCGGCCCGCCTGGCTGTGCCGGCAGGCCGCCCGCTGCCCTCGCTTCCCAGGAGGGCCTCCCGGGGGCCCAGGACACGCAAAGAAATGCACACAAATAAACAGATTCCCCATAGTTTCCCATACGTTCTGGGTGTTTTTTGTCTTCCATCCCACTTCCCATATAGTTTCCCATATGTTCGGGGGGAGTCGACGATTCATTGTGTCTGTGTGTTTCTTTCCCTCCTGACAGGAGGGTCTCTCGGGGCCCTGGCACGGCGGGTGGCGAGCGGCAGTTTGTCATGCGCCACCCTGCCGCGCCACCGCCGGCGGCCGATGGCGCTCGGCCCGCCGCCCCGTGCTCCCCGCGCTGCATCGTCCTCGGGGCCTCCCTCCTCCTCCGCGGGCCGATGCCGCCCGCGCGGGTGGGGGCTGCTGGCTCCATGCCGGCCCAGTGGAGGAGCGAGGAAGGGGCTTGCGAGGTCCAGAACCACCTCCACCTCCACTTCCACCTCCACCTCCTCCCCCTCCCTCCTCCTCCTCCTCCTCCTCCTCCTCCTCCTCCCCTCTCCTCCTCCTCCTCCTCCTCCTCCTCCTCCTCCTCCTCCTCCTCCGCCAGCAGCGCTCTCCGAGCTTCGCACTGCCCGCTCGATGGCCGCCGCCGCGTGTCTCGTGTTCGGTCCGCGCGCGCGCGTCGGCCGGGCCGAACACGCCACGGGTGCGGAGCGCGCCCGGCAGGCTGCAGAAGCAACAAAAAGGAGGGGGCGGAGGAGGAGGCGAAGAGAGACCAAGCATGAGCTGTGAGATGAGGTGGAGGGAATGGACAGGGAAGAGGCGGGGGAGGAGGATTGATAGGAGACCACATGCGAATCCTACCCCTACCCCCCACGATTTCTGAGGGGGAGGGGTAGGGTTCGCATGTGGCCCCCTAATTGAGGCGGAAGAGTGGAAGGAGGAGGGGATCTGGGAGAACAGGAATGAAAAAGGCGGGGCGGGGTGGATGATGGGGGCGTCAGGGAGAGAGATGATGAAGACGGATGATGAGGGATGATGAGGAAGAAGGCTGATAAAAATGATGAGCAGGAAAAGACGACACGAGTAAACAGGAAATGTGTTAACGCTGCGGCACTAACCCCTCCCGTCCCAAGTACCCTCCTCATGAGTCCCTGAACGATGTTTCAAGACGAGCGATGGCTGGGCACGCAGTTGAGGCGAGATCTCAGTGTTGGAGGGAATGGCCTTCCATCCTTCTTGCTAAAGGCATGAGACAAGGTGGAAACATTCGATTCAATACAATGCCCAACGACAACCCCGCCGCAAAAAAAGATAACCACCCACAATCCGTGTAACCATTGGACCTGTCTGGACTTCTGGTCAGACAACCGGACGGAATCTCAAACGATAGTCGCATGTTGAAGCAATCTTCCAGCAGTGTAGCTGTGGGGACTTTTTCAGACAATTGTTACCAACACGAAGCATGGCGGGGACGCAACATTGAACACCATCGGACTTCCATCCGTGTACGAGTTCGACAAACATTAAGAAGCCGTGCGCGGAGCCAAAAAGAAAGATCCATGCCGACATCGGTTCGCCCTGCATCCGTGTAGCTGCTATTGTTGAAACTTTCAGGCTTCAAAACTGCAAGTGGTGAGAACATCTTCAGCGAAATACCGAAACCAATGATACGCGCGGCCGTGTGATAGAGGAGCAGCTGTTGAGACGGAGGAGTGATTGAGAGGGAAAGGTCGGGGAACGTTTTGGAACGCTTTGCGAAGCACAGCGTGCAGGAGCAGAGGAAAAAGGCAAAGCGACGACGGCACACGACCGATCCTCCCACCGACCGAGTGCCTGCCGCGGCAGGCATACACAGCCCCTCGGGAGATGCGAGGGCATGAGAAATATGCGAAGAGGCGGGAGCGAATGCAGAGAAGGAAGGGCGGCGTGGAGGGGAGAGGATGACGACGAGGCAGAGGAAGATTGATGGAGGGAGGAAGAGTGATGGAGCAAGACGAAGCCACGCCGAAGAAGGCATCGGGCGAGGAGAACTTGAACATCACTGAGATCCGGCGGTTTTGGAACATGTCTCGGGCGCCGCGGCATTGTCAGAGCGTTCCGGAATGGATCTCATCCCCGTCCTAGCCGCGTCCTGTAAAGGGAACATGGGAAGAGGAGGTTGGAGGGAGCAAGGCAAACGAGAGGCGGCCTTGCCATAGAGGTGCAGCACACATATCTTTCGGAGGTCTTCGCGGACTTCTCGGATCGGCACCGAAGACCCCTCCCTGGCTCCGCGCCACGGGCAAGGCCAGAAGCGGCGCTAAGGTGGCCCAGCGCCGACCCGACAGATCCGCGCGCACCTCCGACCTGTCCATTATGTTTGTGCCGCGCGCCCTTCCTCAATGCCAAGGAAATGAGCAGGGACCGACCGTCCTGGCATTACTATAGGCCTACAGCGACACGCTCCTACAGCCAAACATGTTCTCTGAACACTTGGCGCCGGCGGTAAGCCGTCAACCTTGGTTACCGCCGGGTGGTTCGTAGAGCTTCCGTGCCACAGTTGTGAATGGCATGCGGGCGCGGCGGTCTCACATTTTGCGCGCGCGAAAATGTGCGGTATCATGGACATGTGCTTGACAGCTCCGTAGCTTGCCCACAGCTTGAGTTTGAGTGAGTTGAGACAACCAGCCACGCAAGAAAGTACACGAGTCAAGCCGAACAATGTTTTAACACTACCTGTTAATCTCGATAAAAAGAAGCTCTCTCGCGCCACGTGTAGAAGATGCGCATGGTCATGTCCTACCGAATGGTGTGTTTGGCCGCTTCGCAGCTTGTCCCCAGCTCGAGTAAAGTTGAAACAAACACCCACGCAATAACAGATTCGGCTCAAGCGGGTCCGTTTGTTAACGATTAATAAATCCGCCGACCCTGTCGGCGTGTGTGAGGGGTTTCTCCGTTCGACTCGTCGTCTCCGTTCTCCCCCTCCCGGGGCTCTCCTCCTCAAGCGCGCTATCCAAAGCGAAATTAAACGAAGTCGTAGTGGAGTCGAAGGGAAGCCCCTTCCCTTTGATCCCTTCCCCGCAGGGGGGGGGGGGGCGGTGGGGGTCCCGGGGCAGATACGACGCCCGCCGGGGCGCACTTTCCTCAAGCGGGCACGCACGGGATGCACTTCCTCCTCCTCCTCCTTGTCCTCCTCCTCCTCCTCCTTTTCCTCCTCCTCCTCCTCCTGCTCCTCTCCTCCTTTTCCTCCTCCTCCTCCTCCTCCCGCAGAGGCGTCCCAGGAGCGGGCCCCGAGTCAAAATACCACCCCCCTGGGGCGCATTTTCCTCGAGCGGGCACGCCCGAGATACACTTCTTCCTCTTCCGGGAGCACGTCCCAAGTCAGAATATCACACTCCCGGGGCGCACTTTCTTCGAGCGGGCACACAAAGGAGGCACTTCCTCCTCCTCCTCCTCCTCCTCCTCTTCCTCCTCCTCCTCCTCCTCCTGCTCCTCCTGGTCCACCTCCTCCTCCTCCTCCTCCTCCTCCTCCTCCTCCTCCGCTTCCTCCCCCCACTCTTAGCCCTTTCGATCAGGGTCGGCGGCACCGGCCGTCAGGCCTCTCCAATCGTTTAGACAATAAGCAACCATCTGTAGATGCGCCTAGTCATTTTCTATCAAACGGTGTGCTTGGCAGCTTCGTAGCTTGCCCACAGCTTGATTGAAGTTCAGACAATCACGCAAGCGAGAAAGTGCACGGCTCAGGTTGATTTTTTTGCAGATTGTCCATCAATTGAGAAAATTAGAAGGACTCTCGCACCATGTGTAGATGCGCACGGTCATCTCCTATCGAATGGTGCGCGTGTCAGCTCCGTAGCTTGCCCACAGCTTGAATTAAGTTAAGAAAACCACTCACGTCGGACAGTGCACGGCTCAAGTTGAACAGTTGTTTTCCAAATTCTCTGTCAATTTAAATCATGAGAAGAGCTCTCGCGACATGTGTAGATGCGCATGGTCATTTCCTGTTGAATGGTGTGCTTCCCAGCTCCGCAGCTTGCCTACAGCTCGAGTTAAGTAGAGAAAGCCAGAACCAACTGCCAAAATGAGCCTGGAGACCTCCACCCGCCTGGGTACTATTCTTATAATCGTACCCACCCGATCGACCTGAGATCAAGATGCCGGGCGGGAATAATATCCTAGTGCTCAACGAAACATATGAGACCTCCAACGAATTGTTGAATTTCAAGAACATGTTTTCCACCAGACCCAACGCCAGCAAAACTTTCGTCGAGATTTTTCGAGCCAACTTGCCCGCTGGCGCTGCGGAATTACTCTTAAGCTTCCACCGCTTCGCTTATGGGGAAGCTCTACGAGTCACACATATTATTCTTATAACATGTGCCAGATGCGTTAACATAAGACAATATCAGGCAGAACTGCTCTAAGGACATTTCGTGTAAGCCACAACGGGCTTTTGGAATGTTCTTTGTTGGGCCTATAACTCGGCAAGCCTGGACGCGTTGCCACCGGTTGAGGGAGGGAGAGGAGAAGCAGGGAGAGGGCAAGCAGGGAGAGGGGAAGAGGAGGGAGAGGGGGAGCAGGGAGAGTGGAAGAGGGAGAGGGGAAGGGGGGAAGCCGAAGGGGAAGAGGAAGGAGAGCGAGGGGAAGGGGAGAAGGGAAGAGGAGGGAGGGAGGGAGGGAGGGAGGGAGGGAGGGAGAGGGCAAGAGGAGCCGCAGCAGCGCGAGCAGGCGCCGTCCTCGTGGGCAGACAGGCGCGCCTGCAGCGCCGAGTCGCGGTCCGTCTGTGCCTGGGCGCGCCACGGCGCGCCGCGGCGAGGCGGGTGCCGCTCCAGGGGGGGGGCTCGCCCGCAGCGGAGGAGACCTCGCTCGGGCGTCCCGATAACAGTGCCGTGGCATTGAGCAGGGACCGACCGTCCCGGCATTCCTGAGAGACCTAGAACAAGCACAAGCTCTGAGAACAGGCACGGTGTTCCTGCGACGCCGGCCCGAGGCAACAACACGATAGACGGTCTCGGCCCGATAGACGGTCTCGGCCAGAAGTGTTCTTGAGAGCAGCGCGCGCAAGCCACAAGAGGCTCTTAGAGCATTCTCTGGTGGTGGAGGAGGAGGAGCAGGAGGAGGTGGTGGAGGAGGGAGAGGAGGAGGAGGAGGAGGAGGAGGAGGAGAGGAGGAGAAGGAGGAGCAGGAGGAAGAGGGAAAAGGAGGGAGGAGGAGGAGAGATGTAGAGGAGGCGGAGGAAGAGGAGAGGAGAGGAGGAGGAGGAGGAGAGCGGGGACGGAAGAACGTGGAGGATGAGGAAGAGGGAGGAGGAGGAGCGGAGCAGGAGGAGGAGTGGAGGAGGAAAAGGAGGAGGAGAGGAGGAGCAGGAGGAGGAGGAGGAGGGGGATAGGAGGAGGAGGAGGAGGAGGAGGAGGAGGAGGAGAGGAGGAGGAGGGGATGGAGAGGTAAGGAAGGAGGAGGCGTAGAGGAGCAGGAGGAGGAGGAGGAGAAGTGGAGGAGTAAGAGGAGGAGGAGGAGGAGGAGAGGAGGATGAGGAGGAGGAGGAGGAGGAGCAGGCCACTGCGTGGTGGCAGGCCGCGCGGCGGCCTCGGGGGCCTGGTCAGGCCACCGTCCGAGCTCCGTCGCGTCGTTCGAAGCCTTCTCGGGGCCATCGTGGGGCCGATCTCGCGGCGGCACACTGTAAAACATAGTCCCCTCCTCCGCCTCCTCCGCCCCTCCTCCTCCTCCTCCTCCTCCTCCTCCTCCTCTTCCTCATTGTCCTCCTCCTCCTCCCCCTCCTCCTCATCCTCCTCCGCCTCCGCTTCCGCCTCCTCCTCCTCCGCATTCGTGCCCCCCCCTCCCGCTGCCATCTCGGGGGCGGGGTGAAGGCTTGTGGCCGCCAGCGCAGGCGGCACGGGAGAGGAGAGAGTCTCAACCCCTATCATGGGGCTCCTCTGGCTGGCCCTTTACCGTTAGAAGAACAAGGGCACAAGGGTGGGGACAGACATCTCGCCATCGCTCGGACGTCCATTCCCTGTGTTTTTTGTCGGTTTCGTGCGTGGCTCTTTCGCTAAATGATCAAGGATGCTCCTCGATGGTCCTCGCCGAAGGAAACATGCACACGTCCGAGCGATGCCAGGCGCTGGACCAGGGAGGTCCGGCGCCGATCCGAGAAACCCGCGCGGAGCTCCGAGAGTTCACGCAGCTGCCTCTTCTTCGGCTGTGCGTTCAATGTGCGAGAGGTGTGCTGCACGACGAACAGCAAGATGAGCTGCGGCAGATTCACGTCGTGAAGTCTTCGGCATTGGTCTCGGGCACCGCGCGAACCGTTCAACCTTGAACGATCGATGGCTCTCCTCGATCGCCAGGTCGTTCCAGACTGGCCGATTCTGGGCCGCTGGCGGCATTCAGCCTTGAACGCCCGCGCTGACCTGCTTGCCGACACGACGTGGATCTGTCGTACTGACAGCTGGGCCAAACGCTGAATCACATCCTTCAAGACCATGGGACCCATCCGCCGGCCAAATTGAAGAACACTCGAAGATGCTCTCCCCCAGGATGCACAAGAAGATCCAACAAGCACGACCCACATTAAGGCACCATCTCCGGTAGTCGTACGCGAAGAACATATCCGTATCCGCGCGAAACGCATATCCATATCCGCGGCATCGCAGGCCGGGCCCCTGGGCCGCGACCCCGCGGATGCGGGGCGTCTGTTCGCAGATCCCCCCCCCGCGGAGTGCATCCGTGCGACCGCTTATCCGGGATCACGCCCGGGAATCCTCACCGCGAGGGCGCAGGTGCAGATATGTTCGCCGCCCGTGACGTACTTGAAAATAGAAAAAGGAGGAGGAGGAGGAGGAGGAGGAGGAGGAGGAGGAGGAGGAGGAGAGGAGGAGTGAGTAAGTGAGAACAATCGCGGAGAGGAGTGAGTAGGGGGAGAGTGAAGGGAGGATGAGAATGAGAGAGGGAAGGATGAGTGAGGACGAGGGAAGTAGAAGGAAAAGGAGGGAGAAGGAGGGAGGAGGAGGACGAGGGAGGAGGAGGAGGGAGGGCGAGGAGAGAGGATAATTAGAGAGGAATGAGGAAAGGAAGGAGGAGGAGGATGAAAGGAGGTCAAAATGGAGGAAAAAGTAGAGGAGGAGGAGGGAGGCGGAAGGATGTGAGGAGGAACAGGAGGAGGAGGAAGGGGAGTGTGAGGGAAAGGAGGGAAGGGGGGGGGGAGGAGGGAGGAGGGAGGAAGGGGTTGAGGAGTAGGACGGCAGGAGGAAAGAGGAGTTGGAGGGCGGAGGTGGGGGAGATGGGAGTAGTGTCAAGGGGGGAGGAGGCCGTTAGGAAGGGAGGGGACGGGGGGGGGTTGGGATCGTGGGTGGGACGAAGCTTGAGGATTACGGGACTAGGCGACTATTACGGATGGGGTGAGGAGGCCCTCTGCCACTGGCCGTGGCCACCCCTGAGGCCCGCCGCTCGGCAGCCGCCCGTCCCGACGCCCCGCCCCCTGCCACGGCGCGCCTGCCCCGCACCGAGCCGCCGGAGGCCTCGCAGCTGGGGCCCGAGCTGATGTTGGAGGCCTGACGATTGGCACCGACACCAGCACAGGGGGCTGCCTCCACAGGGGGAAGGAGGAGGGAGGAGGAGGAGGAGGAGGAAGGAGGAGGAGGAGATGAGGAGGAGAAAGGAGGAGGAGGAGGAGGAGGAGGAGGAGGAGGAGGAGGAGGAGTAGGAGGAGTAGGAAGTAGGAGGAGGAGGGAGGGGGTTGCCTCCACATCGGCTACACGCAAGAGTGACCCTGGGTAGGAGTGACCTTTGGTGCGCGGCTTCTGGGGGGCCGCGGGGGGACCAGGCCTGGGCGCGCAAGCCGCTGCTCCTGCTTCGCTTTCAGCCATCTGGGGGCCCATCTGTGCCCGCACCAAAGGTCACTCCGGCGAAAGGTCACTTTTACGTCTAGTCGACCACAAGGGGAAAATGATCCCAGATTTCGGTGCTGCTGGTAATACTTCGGCCATCTTGGAAGCCAGAACATTACCACCATCGCCGAGACCGTGATCTTCCTCCCTCGGTGGAGTCACGCCACCGATATTGGTGTTGGTGTCAACCTCGAGGCCTGCGATGATGCGGTTCGGCGGCGAGCCTTGGTGAAAAGATCTGAAATTTAGAAAATGGCCCCAGACCAAGAGAATTTGTCTTTGAATTCAATGAGCCGCTTTGTTCGTTCACAAAATGCTGGTCTGGCTCGTTTGCATTTGGTAGCGCAATTTGATTTTTAATTCCGTTCCGCGCTTTGATAAAGCATCGCGTGCTTCAAGCAATGTTTACACACAGCGCATGCGTCCACTACCACTACACGTGTTGTTTGGTGAAACCCGGGGGGGAGTGAGAAGGGGGCGGGCCTTCTCAGGCCCCCCGAGAGGCCCCACAAGGGACCCCCAGGAGGCCCGGGGGATGCCCCAGGAGGCCCCCAAACGGCCCCCGAGAGGCCTCCAAACGGCCCCCAAGAGGCTCCAGAGAGGCCTCCCGCCACATCCCACCGAACATCCTGGCGGCCTCTGTCCCACAACCCAGGCCGAGCGGCGAGATGTGGCGGGCCTTCTCAATCGAGGATCTGCTAACCTGGGTCAGACCCAGGTCAGTAAGAAACCAAAAACTGCGATGCAAGAAA